TTAACCTTTTTCTTCATTTTCATTTTTCTTGATTATTTCCATGTTGTCCTCAATCCCATTGAAAAAAAAAATAACCGGTTTCTTTTTATTGTTCAGTTGAAAGTCTGATGATGCAAACAGCCTCATATCTTCTTCTGTGTCTCTGTGTAATATGTTCATGATATTATCGTTCATTGATGTTCATTGTGTATATGTGGTCGGCTGTCCTTAATCAATCCATACAAGGCCGGTATATTTTTGTTCTTCCTTTCGGGGTCAAATGAAAAGATTGTTTGCCCAATGCAGTTATACAACCTTACAGTCAGCTTAAACTCTTCAAGCACCGGCATCATATCTTCCACTGAAGCCCCTGTATTCTAAACTCCTCTTCTGTAACATTCATCAATTTCAAGATTTTGTCTCTTGTCATTCTGTTGCTCTCCCACTTGTTCTTGCCCATCAGTGTGTCTTTGTAGTGGTATTTCTTTGTGTTTATCCATTATTCCCCTTCGGTGTGTTCTTGATTTTTATTGGCAGTGCTGCGTATTCCATAAGAAGAGCCTCCAAATATCCACTCAAAAAAATAGTATTTTTTTGATGTCCGGAATCTTAGATAAATGCTAAAAGCAACACTTTAGTATTCGGAATACTTGATTAAATTAAATTATATAAATTAAATGTTTACGGGCAAAATTCCCAAAACAATGCGATGTTTTTGTCCAAGAATACTATACATAGTCCTATATCTAATGATTACAAGATATTTTAGAAGTTTTGATTTTTCTCAATATGTATGTTTATTTATTGAATATGTTTCTTGTAATCTTTCTTTGGTCCTGTATGATGTTATTTGTGGATATTTGTGGCATAAATGGATAGATACGCCTCAGTGCAAGATTGTGCAAGTTCTCATGTTTGTAAGGAATCCTGAAATGAATCCTGAAAATGGTGCTATCCAAGTGGCTTAGCGTGCTGTCCAAGGACCTCCAGTTTGAAGGTGCGACTTGTCCTGGAGAGACGAGCTGAATAGCTTCTCAGCCATACGTTGAAAACGTTCTCTGAGGACCACACCATGGAGCTGTCCAGGAAGATTGCACTCCTGCCATAACCATAGGAGGGCTCGTCAATAGGAGGGAGCCACCCATAAGCCTCAAAATGCTCACTTGAGAAGGGCTTGCAGAAACTCTATGCATCTCACAGTGTGATTGCTCTCCCGCGGCACCTGTGAACTGCGCAACTGGGAGCGAGTCTCCAAAGACACCTGCGGAGAATGGGCACCCCATGAGAGGTCCATTTTGGGTCAAAAATGCTTGGGAGATCAGCTTTGGCCACGTTCTCCAATCTTTCTCCAATCTTCCTCCGCTCTTTCCCTGTCTTTCTCTGTCTTCCTCCTAGAAGAGGCCCGGTTGACTTCGCAGGAACCTTGCATGCTTTTCGGGCGGAAGCTGTATGCATAGGATGGCAGGTATCACGCGGAGTACAGGGATCGTACCTTTGCACACTCTGAATGTCGTCAAGAGCGGAAGACCCATCTTTTTGCATCTTTTCACATCTTTCCACATCTGTTCACATCTGTTCACGTTGAGTCATCCTTGACAGCATCGAACGTGAAGCGCAGTTCGTTGGAGACCTTGAGATTTCAGCAGTATCTCCAGCTGTTGCGCTGCACATGCGCTGCACCACGATCTCTCAACAAATCAAGGACAATGCATCCTTTTTGCTCATCCTTTGGATTGTCGCATGCCCATCAACTTAACAAATCAAGATTTGATCTGACCGACCTACCTATCTACCTCTCAGCCCCAGTCCACCCTTCAAGGGTTGGAGAACCAAAAATATGTACTAGAATCGCTTCTCACGCTTTGTCGCGAGGCGTTGGGAGTCTTATTCAAAACGCTAGACAAGCTTCAAACATTGGAAGAGATGACTTTACACAGTCCCAAATAGAAGCACCAGTGCCAACAACAAAAGCTCATCAAAGCTCATCAAAGCTCATCATGTCATGTGCAGAAATCACAGGCGAGATGTGACATCTTTGGTCAATCTCACAATTGACTATCAAACTACACAAGTATATACAAGTATCGAATATTGCTGTCAAGTATCAAATGTGTCAAGTATTGATGTCATTTAATTTGTTTCTAATCAAACGCACGAGAGTTGCACGCTCCAGGTCCTCAGCCATCTGTCTGACATGATCTACTGCCTGTTGTCATTGTCCACATCGACCTTACACATGGCAAGTCACAAGGACTTTCTGAAACACAGAGTAGCTTACAAGAACAAGCGATGCAGCAGCAGCAATCATGAAATATAATGAAATATGTGCATCGATTTAATCAACTACTGGTACAATCAGAAGCAAGAATACGCTTAGTACAAGAATCCACGCAACAAGTCCACAGGGACTCCAAACACTCACCATCCAAGTGCATTTACACAACGGTCGGGCGAGCAGAAACCTTACAACTTATACACCTTCAAGGCGAGAATGAAGCATGAAGAAGCTGGGTCAGGATTAAGTCCACAACCCTTTAAGACTTGCTGGGCATCATTATTTTGACATGCTCAGGAATTTGGGCAGCCTATGCTTCTATCGAATTTCCTTCCTGAATCGAGTCTTGGAAGCCCGGGAAAACCGTCTGATGATCCCAAAACAAAATAAACTCCAAAAACAATGAAAAATGAACATACGATTAACCTAACCTCTCGATATCTTCAGACCGAAAGGCGCAGAATCCAGTACAATCTTACATTGCACTTCGGTACAGATCCGTACATTTTGCCTTCGGTCTTTGGTCTCACATTTCACATCTGAGTACCATTCCAGCCGTTGTCATTGTATACTCGCCTAAAACCAAAACACCTGAGCCGGCCTAAGCATTGAAGCCAGCCAAACTAAAGTAAAAACCAAGGTGCAACTTGAGCTAAGATCCACTAAGCCCCTGTTCTCCTTCTGTGATACAGTGCTAGTGGCAACATACATGTTGTGTGGAGAGCTTGTCCGGTCTGGTCAGCCACTACGTACAAAGTGTGTGTATATATATATATGTATATATATATACACAAATATAAACTTCATGATGCCAAATCAAAGGAACGAGCAGAAGTGGTGTACAACACAACCTCAAAGGAATGTAGGAAGATCTGCACAAAGTCTCACCAAACTTGGAAGAAGTTGTCAGATTCTTTTGAAGAGAGAACTCAGGTCTACACACGAAGTTTCTCAGGCAATGGAAATTCATACAGCTCTGTTTCGCCTCAGGAATTTCTAGGGCACCATTGCAACGCTACACCACAAAGTTCAGCGAAGGTAAGGCAGCCACCTTTCTCCACACCTAGAGCAAAAAGTTTCTTTCCACCTCGCAGCTCGGCTTGAAACAATCTCCCATCAAGGACATTCAATATGCTTAATGCCCAGGAGAGAAAAGCCGTTGATGGACTCGAGCTTCAGCACGTGATGGCTCTGATATGCTCTGATGTTTATTGTCTATGAACATTATGAACTACACGTCAGCGTGGCATTCCAAGCGGGCTATGGCATCTATAGCTTTGGCGGGCTTTAGCTCGGCCGGGGTGGGGGCCTCTGTTGCTCAATGAGTCCGTGTTTTTGCAGGTTCTTAAAGAGCAAGATTCATGAGATCAACGCAGGCACACGATACCCACAAACAGCCCGAGAGAAGCCAAGGCCAGAGTTGAAATGCCAAATGGGCACAAAGGAAAACTCGCCTGTTCAAAGAAATTTGCCAAAAAAACACAAAATAAACCCTGGCAGCCAATTGTTGGCATTATGTTAGTCAGACTTCGAGCCAGCAACCCCCACATTGACTGTCTGTCAAGCGCAAGAACAACGTATATTCACCCTAGATTGCGCCAGATGTGGACCTGAATTTTGAGCCAATTTTGACCCAAGTTGGTGCTACGTTGGTCAACAAGCCCCCGAGAATGGCACAACATAGCCTCCATTGAACACGGGCCCACTATAACATGGGCTCAACATGAAGGTCAGGGGCGCAATCATCTCTACACAAATCAGACCGACATAAGCTTACGTAACATTTGTTCAAGAATGTTCGCTTGTGCTCAACATGGGCCTCTTGGAGCCGTCTCAAGTCTACATAGTCTACATCTAAGCTCAACATGGACCATTGGTGCAAAAAGTCTGCATCTAAAAATCTAAACCATTCTTTTTTTGTCTTTTTTAGATAAAATGTTGAAAGCTTTCACGGACGTTTTGCCCGACTAAACTCTCTTTGCGCCAGAATGTGTTCACAACATAGGCACAAAAGGACAGAATGGGAGTACTTTTGAACCGGATCTCAAAGGCAATCAGCTACATCAACATCCTGTCACACCAATGACAGCTCTTACGTCAAAGCATTCTGCAACAACATGTCCTCTACACAACAAACTCAATAGCCTCTAACACCAGAAACGTGTGTATTCAACCAGAAGGGACTCACTATGAACCAGGACCGGTGAACCTTGTTGCAAGCAGTCATCTTCGTCGCAAAGTGACTTGAAATAGTGTGTTTCGGCAGACACATTGGATTGTTAAAACCAACTATTGCAGGGCTCAAATATGACATGTCCATGCCCGCAAATCGCAAAAACGAGACAACATGATGAAAGCCATGCAATGTGTGTTGACTCACTGACAGATCAATCGAGGCACTTTTGGAAACCAAAGGCTTCCCAGAAATCACATTCATGTAAAGAAAGGTGTCCCAAAAAAAAGGAAATGGCCCAAGCTCACCTCCTCCAAGAGCTAGCCAGTTGATGTGCTGGGGTAAGCGCCACCTTTGCTACATGCTTGTTACATCTTGTTACACTTGTTCTGTGCACCATGAGAGTTTTTTAGCTCCGGACTCGCCCGCATTGGTTCCGCGTAGAGTATCAAAAGCCTACGGATGCTCTGAACACATCTAAAGAAATCTCATCTAAAAGACAGGGAAAGGCTCTATCTATAAAATTCTATAAATGTGCTGGACATCTGGACATGCTAATCACTTTTCTCTTCCAGTTCGCTGCGACGTCGCAGCGCCTGCACAGAGCGACTCTTGCGACGCAAGACCATCACATAGCCCTTCGAAGAGAAATGAAGGGAACCAGCTGAAAGAGCCTCGCCCCACCTCCCAGCCATCCCAATCTGACTTACATAGTTTCATTTCATACAGGCAAACTAGAAAGTCACGCCTAAGTCATGCCTACGGGGCTTTCCCCATTGTCACCGCTGTTTCCAAAAGTCACGCCTAAGTCATGCCTAAAAGGCTTTCCTGCTTGTCACCGCAATCATTCCGGCACTCATTCAATTGATGTGGTTTCAAAGCCAATGCTCTTTATTGAGTTGTTTAACAATGTATGACTTGGATCAATTGCTTCCACTTCTGCTGGCAAGAGAGTATATAATTATTGCATTACATATATATATAATATATATATAGATATATATAATATTATATATATATATCTTAACTGAAGCTCTGAACTAGTACTGTTCCTGATGTTTCCAGCTTGTTGGAACTCCAGTCTTGCCGTTTCCGCCTCGTTGCGCTGCTCCATGGCGCGTTCAGGCACGAGAGTATGATTCTTGATGTGGCTTTCGCGAAGCTCGACAACGCGACCTGCGCCGTCCCCGCAATCACACATGAGGATGTCAAACGAAAATGGACAACGGATACATCCCAACACCTTCCTGATGCCAAAACTGCTGTGTTGAGCCTTCAGATGTCCCTGCCACCACACAGCCCTCGTCATTCGCTTGGAAACCTCCCATCATGCAGTCGCTGTTTGCTGCTAGCGCCTTGCAGGAAGCAACAAGGATTTGAATTTTGAGTACTGTAGGTGTCGGAGTAAAAAATAAAAATGAGATCGTCATCTTTATGTCCATCTTCAAAGTTCTTTGTTGTCCTCCTTGTCATTTGCCTCTCACTGATGCATTTTTGCAAACGTCTATTCCAAGTCTCTATACGCGGGTTTTCGATTGAACCACTTGAATTGACAGTGCGCTACATCGCAGATTCGTCAACTTTGCAGTCTCAAAGACATCCCTTCAAAAAAATACTGGGTTTTGCATCTGCTTCGGATGTGTAAAAGTCGATAAATGTCAGCATATCTCCACCCACCCACACCAGACTGAAAAAACACACAACCACGCGAATTGATGTGGGTTTCTTTATATAGATTTGATTCTTCTACATCCAAGGCCTGATATAATCCTCCTCCTTCGAGTATATAAGTCTTATTGAATAATAACACGTTATCACAAGTTAATGAATACCATTCACCTTTGGTGTGAATATTTGTGTAGCTGTAATATCGTGCAATAGAACCTTAATTACTGCAGTCAGGATTTGACAACCATTCAAATGAAAATCCTGAGAGGTTGTCTTTTATCTTTCCTCTTTCTCTTGCAAAGCATTTACATAATGATATGCTGCTGCGATGCTTCAACACTTTTACAATTTTTCACAGGTATCTCGAAAAGTCCGCAAGAGGTGCAAGCGAAGCAATGCAGCAATGCAAATTTCTGCATGTTTCCACAACTGCCCAAGCATTGTTGCCTTGATCTGCTCGGGTCTCTTTGAACGCGCATCGTGGTGGAGCCATGTATCTGGAATCTTCCACTGCTTGGGCTCTGTGTCAGGCAGGGCAGCGACGGTCATGTGACCTCCACAAAGTATCACAAGGTTAAATCAGGCCAAGGCTTTATCAAGAGAAATACACCTGGAGCTGCCTGTATCTGCTTGCTGTTTGACAAAGGATCTCTGAAGAGGACATTCTGCCAGCAAGCGGCCCTGCGCTGGACACAGCTCTGTTTCAAAATAGCTATGAACGGAAAAGTCAAACTGCTCAGAGCTGGGAAAACACAGCTAAAGCGACGGCTTGAGCGAAAGCGTGCAAACCACATCAAACCAATGCAACGCTGCTCCTTGGAATGCAACACTAGCACGCGACAGTTGGCTTGCGGTCCAGCACCGCAAGCGACGCTCACATCCTGACCAGAATCACAGCGTTTGTAAACCTGTTTTGCTCAAAATCTCCGTTAGACTTTGTAATTGGCAGCATTTGCTGATATTTGCTGTCTCAAATCAAAATGATGACCGTTCGTAGGATTCCTGGCTCGTTTCACTCCTGTCCTGTATTGCTTGACCCTCCAAGGCGACGCAAGGTGGCACTCTGTCGAATCTCACCTTCGCCATATCTGCCTTCATTGGCACTCCACAAGCAAAGTGTTGAGGTGTTGTCTGTTGGCTTAGCGTTGTCTTGGAACATCAACGAAATCGCAAGAAAACACTTCTCCTGCTCCTTCCGCAGAGATGTAACAAAATGTGAAAATGTTGGATTTTTCAGAAACCTGTGGACAGGCTTGACTCGATGTCGCCTAATGTCACTTTTACATTGATGGAGCTGATCTCTGCCCTTGTATATGCTTGGCTGCTTCTGAGTAGGTGATGCAGAACGCCAATTTACATACTGCGACAATACTGTAATCCACATCATATCACTGTTTGTCTGCCTCTCGGGTGACTTGGCCAGCATAAACTCCAAGGTCATCTGCAACAACTAGAACTTTTCCAGACCTTCGCCAGTGCGAGCAAACATCTTGGAAGTCAAATCATCTTCTCTGTTTGACCATGTTTGACCTAAGGATCAAGCGGATCACAACTCAATGTCCTGGGTTTGAGTCCAGACTTGAGTGGCCATTGGACGTGAATGGGATGCCCTTGAAGCGAATGCAGGTCCTGACAGGAAATTCTATTCAAAGTCTCCGAGACGGACAAAAATCCTACATCGTGAAACCAAGTTGCATCCCTGAAGTTGCCATTAGAATCATTAGAGAGAAAAAAAAAAACATGCAAACGATCACCCCAAACCACTATATCTTGCAACATCGCATAAAGTGCGCACTTGAAAACATGTCCTTCTTCGCAAGTCATCAAGATGCATCTAATGATTATAATGTATACAATACAATCAGATTGAATCATAATACTCTGCAAAAAAATCCGGGAGAGTCCACTGAGAGCACCTTGCGGTGCCTGACCATCGGAATCAGCTCTGGCAGACCATCAGGCCTAGTACCAACAACTGCCTCAGGTGGTGCCAGGGTTTGAAGGGTTCGTATGGAGCCCTATCACGTTGCCTTTGACCTTTGATGGCGCTTACATCAATCTTACATATATTTAATGTATTCCTGTCCTGTTGGTTCAGTTCGTTTTTTCGTTTGCATATATATATATACATATGTATATATATATAAATATATATATTGTATCGATATTGTATATATATATATAATTATATATATATTGTATATATTATATATATATACAATATATCTATAGTATATATAGATATATTGTATAAATATTGTAGAGAGAAATATATATATATGTATATTGTATATATATTGTGTATATATATATATTGTATATATATATATATTGTATATATATATATTGTATATATATATTGTATATATATATATATTGTGTATGTATATATATATATATACTCACCCCCCCCGCCACGACGCCGTTTTTCAATAGCTCGCTTGCAACACAATACAGTATATGACATTTGTATATGTCGTTAATATGTTGAGGGGCATTGGATGCTGCAGACGACCATGCAAACCCAGTTGGCATTGAAAGTTTGTTTTAAACCACTGAAACGCCTCTGGCGGAGTCATTGGTGGTGGACCAAGAGGTGTCCAAGGAAGCACGACATCATCCGCGTTTGCGGAGATGAATGCCTCCGGTGGTGTGATGGCTGCCGGCAGTCCGCCCGGTAGCCAGAGACCATGTACGCTAGGCGGTGTCTCAGGCATGCTGTCGTCATCGATCCTGAGGCGGTGTTGATGAAGCAGACGGGAGACGATTCAGCAGACAAACGTGATGCGACCAAGACAATGAGAACGGATCAAACCTGCAGTCCAGCAGAGAGTATAAAAGCATGTAGCTTCAGATGAAATGATTTGATCCAAGGTGCTCCTGCCCATCGCTCTCCGCCGGCAGTCCGCCCGGTAGCCAGAGACCATGTACGCTAGGCGGTGTCTCAGGCATGCTGTCGCCATCGATCCTGAGGCGGTGTTGATGAAGCAGACGGGAGACAATTCAGCAGACAAACGTGATGCAACCAAGACAATGAGAACGGATCAAACCTGCAGTCCAGCAGAGAGTATAAAAGCATGTAGCTTCAGATGAAATGATTTGATCCAAGGTGCTCCTGCCCATCGCTCTCCGCCGGCAGTCCGCCCGGTAGCCAGAGACCATGTACGCTAGGCGGTGTCTCAGGCATGCTGTCGTCATCCATCCTGGGGCGGTGTTGATGAAGCAGACGGGAGACAATTCAGCAGACAAACGTGATGCAACCAAGACAATGAGAACGGATCAAACCTGCAGTCCAGCAGAGAGTATAAAAGCATGTAGCTTCAGGTGAAGTGATTTGATCCAAGGTGCTCCTGCCCATCGCTCTCCGCCGGCAGTCCGCCCGGTAGCCAGAGACCATGTACGCTAGGAGGTGTCTCAGGCATGCTGTCGTCATCGATCCTGAGGCGGTGTTGATGAAGCAGACGGGAGACAATTCAGCAGACAAACGTGATGCAACCAAGACAATGAGAACGGATCAAACCTGCAGTCCAGCAGAGAGTATAAAAGCATGTAGCTTCAGATGAAATGATTTGATCCAAGGTGCTCCTGCCCATCGCTCTCCGTATCCATAGGCTCATCATCATCAGTCGGCCTGAAAGAAGACAGTGCAGATGTCAATCGAACATGAGGTAAAAGGCTCCAATACAAGCAGATGTGGTTCTCAGGAAATTGAGGTCATGACGTTGGATACGGCTTTGGCTTTGCTGCAGCGCACGCACGAGGCAGCAGCGGCATTGCTAGCCAGAGATTGGATGGTTGAGTATATGAGGTGTACGACTCAAAACGGCTACGAAGAATAGTATTTTGCAGGAATGATCCATGTAGAGCAAAACCAAAAAAAACAAAAAAAATAGACCAATGGGAGACCCCAAAACCAAAAAAACAAAAAAACCAAAAAAAATAGACCAATGACCAATGGGAGACCCCAAAACCAAAAAAACAAAAAAAACAAAAAACCAAAAAAAACACACTCATCTGTCTCTTGTCCTTTCACCTTGGGGTCTCCTATAGGTCTATGTTTTTTTTTGTTTTTTTGGTTTTGGGGTCTCCAAAAAACCAAAAAACAAAAACAAAAAAAAGAACACTCATCTGTCTCTTGTCCTTTCACCTTGGGGTCTCCTATTGGTCTTTTTTTTGTGTTTTTTGGAGGTTTTTTGTTTTTTTTGTTTTTTGGTTTTTTGTTTTTTTGGTTTTTTGGTTTTGGATTCTCCTCTTGGTATTTTTTTTGGGGTTTTTTGGTTTTTTGTTTTTTTGGTTTCCTATAAGTCTAATCAATTACTTTTTTAGTATTTTGGGTCGCATTTTTGAAGCAGTGTATGTAATAAAAACACTGTTTTTTCCAGTGTTTTTTGATGTATAAGCAGACAATGGGATCATGGGAGGGGGTGACCATATATATATATATATATATTGTGTATATATATATGGTTAAATGCTCCTATTGGGCGTTCTAATTTGCGAGTGCTTTGCCCACGCGCGCACGCTGCTGTTTTTGCACTGCACCTGCCACATGTCGCTCACAGCAGCCTTCCGGCTTTGCCGGAAGGAAAAAAAAGAGCATCATGCATGTTCGCGCTGTCTCAGCCGCCCCGGTGTGCAGCTCGTCGTTGCCACGAACCCGACTGTGGTGCATGCAGAGCTACATCGTTCACATGCGTCTGCTGTCCATGACCTTGCACTGGTGTGACTGGACTCTCGCTTCGAACCCTTCTGCCTGCGGGGTTGGCTGGCTGTGGTTCTCCAGGAAGATTCCCTAGTGCACGGCGCTCTCTGATGACTTCATCAAGCAGTCGCCTGATCGTTGTTGGCAGCATTGCACGTTCCCTACGACACTGTTGCTGGAACGTATATGCAAAGAACTACGTGTCTAGGAGTGTGTGCGCGCGCCCGTGTGATGTCCTCTTGCAAATGGCTGCAGCTGAACAAAGAAACTTCACACTCGAGGACCTGACCGCTCCATTTCCGATCTCACTTGTACCAACTTTCTAATACTGTACAGAACTTCCCCATATAAAACGCTTCACGCTCGTTTCCTTTAACTATAAAGGCATATGTTAGGATATTCAGTTTGTATTTCGTGAAATATATAAGGACACAGGAAAATCAACCATAACATACAGGTGCTTTACACTGCCTGTTCAGGCAGGCAGCTACTGGGGCAGCAGTCAGCGTCTCCAGTGAGTAACTGATGGTGCAGCTGTGCAGCTATGCACATCCTGTTCAGGGAGGCAGCTACTGAGCTACTGGGGCAGCAGTCAGCGTCTCCAGTGAGTAACTGATGGTGCAGCTGTGCAGCTATGGACATCCTGTTCAGGGAGGCAACTACTGAGGCAGCAGTCAGCGTCTCCAGTGAGTAACCGATGGTGCAGCTGTGCAGCTATGCACATCCTGTCAGCGTCTCCAGTGAGTAACTGATGGTGCAGCTGTGCAGCTATGCACATCCTGTTCAGGGAGGTAGCTCGCGGGGCAGCAGCCGGCATCTTCATTGAGTACGGTGCAGTTGTTCACATGTTGCACATTCGCATTGCAGCTGAGGAACTATCTCGAGGCCACAGTACGCTGGCAACCTGCTCAGAGATGTAAAGGTTTTCATGGAAGTGAAGCTTATCCGTGATCAAGTTCCCAAGCGCTATGACAGGCCCGTTGACATAGCAGCACTCCACAGCCAAAGCTTACTTCTTTTTCCCACGGCCACGCTGAGAGGAGACACCTTCAGGCACGCTCAACAGAAAATGGGCCGTCGTTGCCGTCGCTATGCTGTCTTTGTGGACGTCGTCCAAGCTTGAATCTATAAGACTGCAAATTGGAACAGTGTCTAGACTCGCTTAAGTACCTACTATCGTTGGAAAGGGTTTCAAGCTCAGATGAGCGCATGCATCTACATGAATGCGAAAGGTGCAGATAGACACGGTGCCACGTATGGGCACATCTCCTCACTGGCCGCGTCCCAAGGTCAGGGAATATGATCGCAACGTGGCCATAGCCTCTGTCAGCGGCACATACCACGTATGGCCCCAGTCCAAGATGTGGCCATGCGCCACGATCTTGCGCCAATGAAATTCATTCAGAAGCCTGGTCCACGTCTCTCTGTTTGAGTGAAGCGGAAGGCGTCCTCCCATGCGCTTGCGAACCCAACGCTTCACAAGGCTCCACCTGTTCTCGATGTGGTTGGTGGTGAACCCGTTCGAATTGACGATCTCCCCGGCAGAATGGTTCACCACCTCATGCCAAAGGTCTGCATCACTCCAGCTGTGACTTGCATGGCCCGGACAGAACATGTCTCAAGGAGGTAGCTTTACTTATACTGTACATTGTGACACAGGATGTATGCTCCTGTAGCTACTCCTGCTCTTGTAACTTTGTCACCATATATATATATGCTGTTAAAAGGGCGTTCTCAAAAACACTGTTTTTGAGAACGCCCGAAACGAGCATGAAGCCATATATATATATATGTATATATATATATATTGTATATAATATATATATATTGTTTAGATATATATATTGTTTATATATATATATATATATTGTTCATATATATATATACATATATATATACAACATATATATATATATATACAACATATATATATACATATTGTATATATATAGTGTATATATTTAAATATATATATATATATATTGAAAATGTGTATATATATATACATATATATTTATGTTGTGTACATATATATATATATTGTATATATATATATACTGTGTATATATATATATATATTGTATATATATATTGTATATATATATTGTATATATATATATTGTATATATATATATATTGTATATATATATATTGTATATATATATATTGTATATATATATATTGTATATATATATATTGTATATATATATATGTATTGTATATATATATATATTGTATATATATATTGTCTATATATATATATATATTGTATATATAGATATGTTGTAGATATAGATATATTGTATATATAGTTATATTGTATATATATATTGTATATATAGATATATTGTATATATATATTATATATATAGATATATTGTATATATAATATAGATATATTGTATACATATATAAAGCATATATATTGTATATATAGATATATTGTATATACATATATATAGTATATATGTATATATATATACATTGTTCAAGCCATCCCAAGCCTACTTTGTCTGAATTACACGAAGTTGGACTGGCAATGGGAAACCGACCTGGATCTCTTCTCCACCCTGTCAGGGCTGTCAAGGCAACAAGATGCAGAAAATTGATCTATATAAGAATTGCGGAATGAATTCGGAATGCCGGCAGGCCAAGCTTTCAGAAAAACTTCGCATAACTGATTTCATCTTTGCCTTCTCACTTCCACTGAATGTGAAGTCGATCATCAGTGGCTTGGTAAAGAACTCCCGAAAAACACCTGTGTTGAGACGGCAAGGGCACTCGGGGCGAATCGTGTCTCATCTCCAAGTGTGCTGCATCTCGGATCCAGACCAAATGGAACTGCAAGACCAATCGCCCAAAGCAAGACCATGAGCAAGGTGGCCTGAATAATGTTACCAACATCTCCCACGGGTCCATTTCCCCAGAAAGATCGTGCGGTCTTGCAGCTTAAAGTAGTCAAGTCTTTGACTTGAACCTGAGTCCTGAACTAAACTGAATACCTCGCGACAGGACAGCAGGCCCGCTCTCCAAAATCATGGGCCAAGGTTGGAAGAAACTTCGTACCAAATTATGGCGCACCTTTGCAGGTAGTTTGCCAGGGTCCATCTTATCATGACCACTGACGATCTGCAGCAGTTTGAAATAGATCAAGGCTGAAAACATCTGAAAACCATGTGAAGGGTGAAACATGGTGAAACTATCTACCACCTCAAAGGAATGCCTGTTCTATCGCCTTGCTCTTGGATGTATGCAATGGTGTCAATGCTCGTGCAGCAAAACGAGGACACACATCCTGCACATCCTTGTCTTATGGCTGGGGCGGCTTCACTATTCAAGGTGTTTCCAAGGGCATTGTCGTTCCGCGTTTCGCAGCATCGTATACAAACGCTGTCAACAATTGTTTCATTTGGAAACATGGCTAACGCGGCTGCTTCGTATTGCTGAGGCAGGTTGCTGTGATGGTTGCAAATTTACCATTGCTGCACTAAAAGGAGTAAAAGAGGAATTCAATTGGACATGTTGGCAGGAAGGAGTTCCAGGGTATATCATGTGCAAGAGCGACAGATTGTCCCTGGCCACCGGTTCACCTACACTTTATCCGCCTTCGCGTCCTCATCGTCCACGTGCTCGTTAATAAAAGTCATTGGGTGAAAGTTGGCATCTTTGCTTGACATCTCTCCTGTCGACTACGAAAACATAAAATTGTGGGCGGAACGAAGCATTTGCACACATCGTCCTGATGGACTGAGCAGGTCTCTCGAATGTCTGCCAGAACTTTCTTCCTGCAGTGAAGCAGTGAAGCAGTGAAACTTTATGGGTGCTCGATCGCGAGGTTGGCGAGTCCTCTGTCCCTTCTTCGTCTTCTTCTGGAACTCCAGAACTGACTGCATTGACAACTGGTGTCATCACAGCCACTTTGGCATGATGTAAATGATGGAGGATGGTACTGGGCGTTGACTGCAAGGCCTGCGAGGCACAATGTATGATGATATAAACCCATCCCCTCAGCAAGTTCAAGGTGGCGTATTTCATGGGTCGCAAGTCTTTGTAGCCAAGCACACTAGATAAATAGATGTTTTATACTCACAACAAAGTGGCCTCTGGAGGCAAGACCTCAACAAAACAATTCGAAAAATTCGAACAAATCGTTTCCTGTGGAGAATTGAGGGCAGCACCACCTTGGCCTTTTCTTGCTTTTGATGCTCGCCTGAGCAGCTGCCACTGTTTTTGTTTGTCCATCAGCTGTGTGTGTGTGTACGTCAGCCAAAGCAATCGTGGACGACACAATATTTTAAATAAATTGGACATGTGGAGCAACCAAGCTTTAGGCGACAAAATGGTGCAAGTAAGTTGTTGCGAGAAGAACTGAGCCCATGTCAGTACTCCTCGATGGCAGCATCAAATTGCGTCATGGTCCGAACCTCAGAAAGCACAACCAGGCCATCCCAAGCCTGCGCCAGCACTCTCTCTCTCTCTCTATCTACCTATCTGTCTATCTATCTATCTATCTGGTTTTCTACCTATCTATCTATCTATCTATCTATCTCTCTCTCTCTCTTTCTCTCTGTCATCTAATTACCTATCTACCTATCTATTTATCTATCTATCTATCTATCCATCTGTCTTTCTATCTATCTATCTATCTAGCTATCTACCTATCTATCTACCTACCTATCTATCTATCTATCTATCCATCCATCTGTCTTTCTATCTGTCTTTCTATCTATCTGTCTGTGTATCTGTCTATCTGTCTATCTGTCTGTTTATCTGTCTGTTTGTCTGCCTGCCTGCCTGGCTGCCGCCTGGCTGCCTGGCTGCGTGGCTGGTTTGCGCGCTGTAATGGCAAAAGCGGCTCGGACTTCAAGTGTTCTTAGCATTTTGACTTCCAAACGTGCTTCGCACCACAACCGCGTGCCCTTTTTCGACAGCTCAACTTCCAAAAGTGCTTCGAACATATGGCTTTTTCTTGCATTTTCACTTCGACATGTGCTTCCTGCAGATGGCTCCACACCCGCCGTTAGCACGCCTACTTTTCGAACACCCCGGAGCCACAAAACATTGGAAAAACACAGTGTTTCGCGACTTTTCTACCTTTTCGCGCATCTTGATCTTCTTTCTTCTGACTTCTTCTCTTCTGACTCTTTCTCTTCTCTGACTGCTCTCACCTCTGCAATTCCATCTGTCCATACTGTCGGAAGTTTGACTTCTAAACTTCCTTCGATAATTTAGAATGTGTGTAGATTATGTACCTTGCTTGAAAGGCGGCTTGGCTTTCTGGCGCGATCAACACATACAACTTCATCCAACCTCAGCCTAAGCCTAAGGACAAGGCCTTTTGTCCATTGGTCTTTGAAGATGATCGCGTCATTCCACCTAGCACACGGGGTTACTCTGAAGCCACCAACAGGGTAGAAAGCTGAAAAGAAAGCAAATGCAAGGCTGGAATTTGGTCCACATTTATTTACATGTCTCCCTTGTTTCCCCTGCTATCAGATTGCCTGGACTTGGCATGTCGGATGCAATCTCATCTTCCTCCTGACCAACACATCAACCTGCATGTTTTCATTGGTGAAGCAGAAACGCAGGCATACAAACACTACCAGTAGTATCTCAGCACTGCCTTGTCCTCTGACTCTAAAGGACGGGCCTGCAATGTATTCCAAATCCGTGAGGCTGGCTTCCAAAGCATGCATGGTCAGATGTGTTTAGGCGTCCTAATGTGTCCATTTCTTGTTCTAACCTCTCCGCTCTTTGGGTTGTAGAGGTATTCAACCTCTGTTCCAAAGTCTGTATAGCCTTTGATCAGCACAAAGTTGTCCTGGGTTTCACGCTCAGCCGAAAATTGTTTCTGAAGCTTCATCCCTTCGAAAGACAGGTTGGGAAAACATTCAAACGATGCGGAATACATGCTTGAAAAATAAGCCCCTGCAAGCAGCATCTGCCAGTCCTCATCTACTGACATGGAGTGTCCAGAAATGTTTGATCCGGTCTTTGCGGCGGCATCCTGCGGCGCAGCTTGTCCTGAGCCCTAAGAGTCCCTACGAGTCCTTAAGACCCCCTAAGTGTCCCGAAGAGTCCCTAAGCTGAATGCACCGAACGGTCGTCTTGACGGGTCGTCTTCGAGCCTTTGGAGCCTTTGTTGCTTTTCTTGCACGGTGAACCAACGCAGCAGCTCGGTGCCGGTCCTGCGACAAAGTGCTTCGCGCTGTTCGCACTTTGCCAATCTGTAATGTGTGGCCGTTCTTTTTTGTATGTCTTTGTACGTCTTCTATTTTGCTCTTTCGATACGTTTTGATGTTTGCCGTATTTGATAAAAGGAAGGGGCAAGAGAACAGGTCGGGAAAAGACCATACAGCTTGCTGATTTCAACGCCTTTCCGGATGACATCTCGCAGCCACCCCCTGCAGCGACACCAGCACCCAAGCTTCATAGCGCACACAGCACCCTGACAGCAGTACCCTATAGCATCACCCAAGTTCCCAAGATGCAGACAGGCCCTTTAACAGTAGTACCCTGCACCCGCACGCTGCAGCGGTACACTGCAGCGGCACGGCACCCTGGGTCGGCACTAGCAAGCCAGCTCCAAAGCGCACACAGCAATCTGACAGCAGCACCCTGACGAAGCATTCTGCAGCGGCACACGACAGCGACACCCTGCAATGCAATGGCGGCACCAGCAGGCCAGCTCCACAGCGCACACACCACTTGCAGCGGCACCAGCACGCCAGCTTCATAGCACACACAGCACCCTGACAGCAGTACCCTATAGCATCACCCAAGTTCCCAAGATGCAGACAGGCCCTTTAACAGTAGTACCCTGCACCCGCACGCTGCAGCGGTACACTGCAGCGGCACGGCACCCTGGGTCGGCACTAGCAAGCCAGCTCCAAAGCGCACACAGCAATCTGACAGCAGCACCCTGACGAAGCATTCTGCAGCGGCACGCGACAGCGACACCCTGCAATGGCGGCACCGGCAGGCCAGCTCCACAGCGCACACACCACTTGCAGCGGCACCAGCACGCCAGCTCCAAAGCACACAGCACTTTGACAGCAGCACCCTGCAGCAGCACCAACATGCCAACACCACTGTAACAGCAGCCTGCAGGCACCAGCAAGCCAGCTCCAAAGCGCATGCAGCGGCACGCACACGTCACTCTAACAGCAGCACCCTGCAGCGGAACCTTGCAGCAGCACCAGCAGGCCACCTCCAAAGCGCACATACCGCTCTGGCAGCAGGACCCTGAAGCAGCACTCTGCAGCGGCACCCTGCAGCGGCTGCAGCGGCACCAACAGGCCAGCTCCAAACCGCACACACCACTCTGACAGCAGCACTTTCAAGCAGCACCCTGCAGCGGCACCCTGCGGCGGCACTCTGGGGAAAAAACACGCTTGTGTTTCAAACAAGTCTTTTAAAGCTTCCAAGCGCTCAACTATCAGAAAAATTGGCATCATTTTAGGGTTCACCTTAGATAAGAAACGTTCAAAGACAACGAAACCCCAGCCGCGCAGATACTTTCGCGCAAGTTGAAAAAAGCCCCAAGCTTGACCCAAGCTGATGCTTATTCAAGGAGGCTAGGTACATCTAGGTACCTAAGTTTAAAACATTGGCCGCCTATGGCGGCCTTGACATCACAAAACAACTTTACTCACCAGCGTTACAGCGTGGGCAGATTTGTGTTCGTTTCTTCTTCCGTTCTGTGTTACTAAGAAGTAAAGCACCTCACCTGCCCTTTTCCAGGCCCCAGGCTGATTCTCAGTCGCACTATCTATGTACAAATCATATAGACACACATTGGTATAGATTTTGATTGTTTTGAAGGGCAGCATGTCATTTCAAATGTTTCACATTTTGATGGACCTTTTACATGTCCAAGTGTTCCACAGGACGCAAATCGTAGAGTTGCGCCACTGGACCCGACTCGGCATATTGCTTTTCAATGAGTTTTGTCGGCAAATGTTGATGAGCGACCAATAAGACGAACGCCATCAATCCAACAGCACAATTCAGAAAATGAAGCCAATGCATGCCCATTCATGTCAACTTACACATCATGGACAATGCACAATGTGCTGTCCGCATCATCCATAGCCCCTTTGACAGTCTCAGACTGAAAAAGCTTCATGTTTGCCTGCAGGTGTGACCGAGACTGAAAATCAAGAGCTTAATGACAATAGTGACAATAGTGGACAGAAGGCGGTAAAAAGCGTGGCAGATGTTGAACCTGGATTTCTTGCTTTAACTCACGAAGACTTCGACTTTGTTCCTCGATGAAGTTCGACAGTCCAGCACATTTTCAATCGACTGTCGACACAATGATCTCAAGGGACCAACTTTGGATGTACTCTGTGACCTGCACAAAGCAGGAATTCAGTGAATCCTGCAGCGTGTTTGGACATGACACAAAGGTATTTTTTTGCAGCCTGTCCAACTCTTGGACAAACAAGTGACACGCAAACCTTCAATTATTCTGGGTTGCAGGCAGCATTAGAGTACAGTTGTCAGGTTCGATGGAATCGAAATGATGCAGTTCACTGGCAGTTCACAAACACGTGCAAAATCGTGCAAACATATCTGAAAATCAGTGAACCACATCCGACCAGCCCAGCACGGTAGCCTCTGAGCTGGATGTGCAGCACTTTCGCCTCAAGATGGACTTGCTTCCAATGTGCACTTGCCCAATCGAAAAGCTGTGGATAATCTCAAATTCCTTCGATGTAGAATGCGACTCAGAAAATTCGTCATTTCTGTATGCAACTACATCATTCTTAAGCATTGGTCTCCGAGGCTAGGTCGAAAAATGAAAAATAAACTAGCACTCAACATAACAGGAACCTAGTCACCCACATATAATTTTAGATTTATCATATTTTATTATATCATATTTATATCCATCTACCTGCTCAAACTACAGTGTACAGTCACTAATTTCCTTGCCGCACCTTCGTGCCACCTGTGCTTCAGCACGCCAAATACATCCATGTAGAGCACAGCCCGAAACCTTTGAGGCAGGATCACCTCAGATCAGTTTTTTTCGAAAAAAATGACTTTGGAATGTCAGCTCAAATCTCCAAGGATCTACTACTTTGACATTGCCATAGCCTTTTAGATTTCAGTTCAACGTAGTGCAACAGGCTCTCAACTCAAAGATCTAAAGCACACAGACTTGAGCCAAGTAGCACCTGTTTTCGGCTGTGTTTCAAGTCCGCACTTCACCAAGGCAAAGAACAACCATCCCCCATGCGCTGCATAGGTCATTGGCAAAAGAACCTGAACCAAAAAAATAAACTTCTTGAAACTTCCTGTAACTTCCTGCCACGCCATGCCAGGCTCTGCCAGATCCAGACTTACAGCAGTGAACATCTGGCCTCTACCAAAAATTTCGCCTGATTTCCTTAGATCCAAAAGGCATTGGAGTTGTTTTGGATTCATCACTCACAATCATGGAATCATGGACAAATTTGATCCTACTTGATAAAATTCAAGTAGCTCTAGGCTCACGATAGCACCACAACCAACAACATGGCGCGCATTGCTTTACATACTACATCTTGACTACTGAAGTGTCAGTAAGGATTTATTTGCTTGACTACCAAAGCTCTTAGATCGCTTAGCAGTCTTGCTCAAAACACAACAAACAAAGCAGAGAAAGACCACTCAAAACCAACCGCCTTAGACAAGCTAAGGCTGTGTCCATAAACTGACCACGTGTACGTAGCAGCACCAGCACATAAAGGTCCTCCTATGATCAGAATCATAGCCCCACCCATCTCCTCCACGGCAAAATTTCAAAAAAGTGTCAACCAGGGGTCCGGATCTTTGCAACAAAGCCCAATCTGACAGAAACAACAAGCTCCTTTGAGGTCATCTCAAAGTCCAATTGAACAAGGGAGATTGTCATCACACACATAAGGACAAGTACCTGGAGGCAAGGTGCCAGACCAGGGAAATACTGAAAGCATGCAGTTAACGAGTTAACGAGCGAAATCGTTCTTGCATGCCACAGCAAACATGTTTTCCAGAGCACTCCAACAGATGCCCAAGGTGAGCCATCCTGCAGGCACCAAGGATAAGTCAAATTGAGCTAACTCACTGATGCAAATCTGTCTTGGATCTCTGTGGCAACTTCCTGCAAAGCAACATAGCCAAGGCAATAATAGCAAATCCTAAGATCACGCAAGAAGCAAAGAGGGCACCCATGCACTTTGGATGCCACCATGAGAGAATGTTGCAAAGGTTTCCTGACTTGGCATCTGGCGATTGCATTAGCTGATGTGTGCCGAAGGCCATGGAAACTCGAGCAAATGCATCGTAACTTTGGTACTGTCTTGCTGCTTGCCTGGCCACGTTAAGAACCAGCGCCAAAGCACACAGAGCACAACAAGCCATAGCTGTAACAAGTCGGAGACAGCTGAAGAACTCATAGCTGCCATCGCTGTTATAGTTCGCACCTTGCCAGCTGCACATGACGCCTTTGCGGAGCAGTCAGCTGAAAGCAGCGCACACTTTATATCAGTGTTTTGTGAAAGTGGGGAATTGTTTGCCGCACAGGAGCTCCCATTGTCAGAAGAAGAAATCAAGCTACCATACCGGGTTCTTCAAAAAAAAACAGCCATCGACCAAAAAAGTTTCAGCATGCACCGGAAGCCCCCGGATCCCCCTGTATCAATGTTGCTAATCATCACTTTTCAATAGCCGGAGCAACAATGGCTGTTTTTTTTGAAGGCTCCGCCAAGCGCTGCTTTCACACAACATTGAAATTGGGGGACCAGGGGTGTCTAGCTGTCCTCGCTAGAGTTCAAGTTGGATGGCTGTTCCTTTTGAAGAACCCGGTATTTTTTTGACATGTTGATGTCACTGGATATTTGCTGTTTCAGGATTTCATCTTCGGAATTCCACAACCCAGGCCTACGAAGAGCAGGCATGTGCTGCAGCTCGTACAAGTCCCGGTCCTGCAAGATGCAGCGATGAAAGTCCGGAAAAAATGATGACATGAAGACTTTCACAAATGTTCACAAGACATGAAGAGACTTTCTCAGGATTCTCCATGATTCTCCTCAACATGCTGCTCCAATCTCCAAGGGTCTATCGGCCCTGAAGTTCCTGCACTTGCCTTGCTGCCTTAGACATTAAAGAGCTCCAGGGACAAAAGCAACAGATTTTATGAGAACGGCCCTAGTAGCCGTGGTAGGCCCTGGTAGCCCTTGGTAGGTTCTGGTAGGCTTGGTCAAGCACTTGTAGTGCCACCAGCTGGAACAGGCTGTGAAGATTGAGATTTTGAGCTGGGGTTCCTGCGAATGCAAAGGGCTCACATATACAATGCAGCACAGCCACGGAACAGGTAAAAAACAAAGTTTAGGATGAATGATATCAAATAGCAGCGAGAGCCTTGTAAAGGGAACACGCAGCATGTCTTTTGCATCAAGTTTTTCATAGTTATACCTCAGATTGAAGTCAACTCAGCTTGTGGTTTTCATGGTTTTCTTTTGCAAACATGTGATTCAGAAGTCGCTCAAGGCCCCGACGCAAAGGTTCTCATGTTCTGAAGCGCCTGCAGAAATGAGGAACAAAAAGGTGACGGGAAAAGCTTGACAGATCAAAAGTCATAGGTCCTAGAAGAGCCCCAAATCTCCGCAAAGACTGGACAACTATGGACAACTCAGTAACTCCCTTTGCAACTCATGACAGCGAGGCCTGCCATGTTGGGATTGGAAGACGAACAAATTGTGTGAGCAAGCGGACGGCCGAACACTGGGCAACAATGGACGCGTGCCTGGGCAAAGTCACGGCTCAAAGCTTAAGCTGGTGCACAGGCTCTGCATATCTCTGCATATGTCTTTGCCACGTTTGATTATGCGTTTTATCTATGTGTATATATAATATATAACAACTCAGCAAGTGTCAGCTCCTGTTTCTCATCCACATCGGCTGGAAAGGTGACACGGCCGCTATGGCCAAAAGTTCACACTTTGTACCCTTCGAGGTGAGCATGGGTGGCTTGCGGGAGGGCAAGCTTGAGCGGGATGACACAAACATCGTTGTTAAACATTCAACAACTCAGCAAGTGTCAGCTCCTGTTTCTCATCCACATCGGCTGGAAAGGTGACACGGCCGCTATGGCCAAAAGTTCACACTTTGTACCCAGCCTTTTCAGTCCATCAATTAAATAAGAAAAAGATCACCCATTCTGTTCAAGCTTTGCTGCCTCACCTCGAAAAATGATTGGCCATGCGGAAAGTGGGATGCTGATCCTATCTAGAATCTGTGCCTGTGCAAGGATCCATGGGAAAATGGCTGCGCCATCCGTAATCTGCTTCTTTACATTGCCTGGCAGATTTGGGATGAATTGGATTGCTGAAACTTCTTGTACATAGATTTCCATCACTTTGATACTTACCCATCTACCTCTCCTTCTGATCATGTCAACGTTGTCACCAACCAACATAAGCCAGCTGGCTCCTCCTGCACGCAGGCTACCAAGATCCAACCCTCGGGACAAACCATGAGGCAACCTATCCAGGTTATTCGCAGCCAAAAGTCGTTGGAAACGCTTTCTCATGGTCTGACCGGAAAAGGGCCACAACCGTTGACCTGGACTGAGGCGATGAAAAGCCAAATCTACCAATGCCAAAAGCTGTGGTTGGTCCAGTTTCGCAACCTGGTGACGTGCAGTCCGGAAACGTGTTTTTGGTTCATCAATCTGCAGAAGAGCGTGGCTCGCTGTGAACTCAACGTCACGTGGCAAAACCAGCTGGCGCCTGACAGCGGAGATGGCTTCTCCGATCCTTGTCAGGCCGCCCCAAGAAAGGGCCAAAATTCCCGCTTCTCTGATCCACCCCCAATACAATGCGGTTACCAGCAAACTCAAAAGCGCCTGCATGGCAATGCAAGGTGGTGCGTAGGTGGTTCTTGTCGAAGCCAGGAGTAGGCCAAATCCCATGCTGGCTGCAACATACGTTTGATCCTCGGCCTTCGACTGGCTACTTCATTGATTGTTTCACTGTAGTGGCCATAGGGCCTCCCAGCAAGGTACAAGGACCTACCGTAGCGCTCCAGCTGCAGATTTATCAGTTCAATATCGGGTTCCCCCACACCTATCAATGCACTGAGAGTCATGCCGTCCTGATTCAACCACCCATCAAAAGCTGCCAGAAACTTCTCTCTGTAAGCTTGCGTCTTTCCTAGAACAGGTCTGCCTTCTGGCAGTTCCAGCGCGCCTCTATTTGCAGCTCGCACCCTGTCGCCAGAATCTCGTGGGATCAATGGTGGGCCATGGCTCACTCCCTCCGCGGCAGCAATCCAAAGCGCAGCAGCAAAAAGTCCAAAAGCACCCCTCCCCCGGAGAAGAGACCTGGCGGACAGACAAGATGAAGAAGCAAGCAAAAATCCAGAGGCAGAGAAAGCTGGCCAAGAGTTGTGGAGAGGCAATGCTAGAAATCCAAGTCAATGCAATGCCAGGAAGGACATGGAAGAGCGCAGAAGGGGGATCAGAAAATGACATGATTCCAAAAATCCAAGGAGGGCCCTCACCTGGAAAACCAAGGGTTTGATCAAAGTCCAAGGGAGCATAGCTGGAAAAGACAGTGGGGACCTGCAGGTGAAAGGGGTAGTGCTTGAAGGCATATCGTTCGTATCTCCAGCACTCTTCAGACCCCAGCCAAGGAGGAGGTCATTTCTGAAGGACAGAGAAGAGCCGAATCCAGTTGGCTGCCGCCCGAGACAAAGAACCTACCTCTGCAAAATCCAAGAGGTTTTTGAGGGGTTGGGAAGTCCAAAAAGATTCCAAAGGCTCCGGGATCTCATTGTCTCGGGTTGGATGGTCGGCGGGATTCAATCTTGTTGGTGCAAACTGGTACGCAGGGTAAAGAACTGTCGCCCCAATCCTCCTGACGCAGGGTCTCAAGCCATATGACGGAGATCGACCCTTCACCAAGGCTGAAAGTCCAACGTTGGAGTCCATGCCAATGACTTGACGGGAGCAGGGGGATTCCAAAGCAAGGCGCTTGAGTAGGGTCTGAACAACCCGGGTCTCAAGGATATTGATGTGCAAAGGTCTAGGCCACTTCCAAACAGCACTAACCTTCCACCTTGAACTCAACAAAGCTTCATTGCACAAAGGGTTCTCGAGGCCTGACACCTTGGGGTCATGAATGCGTTCAAGCCTCAACTTCTGTCGAAGAGCGCGATCAAAAGCTAGGCCAATGCATGAGGCCAGCTCATCTGTGTATACAGCCGAAAGCTTTGTAAACTGACCTTCAATGCGCACATGCTGATGGGATCTGTCACACTTCCTGTGCAAGAATTCTGCCTCCATATTGCAAATCAAAAACACAAACTCCTTGTTGTGAGGACTTCCAAACATGCAACCTGCCGTCCAAATCTCCTCAGCCAAAAGTGCATTAAGCAAATACTGCCATTCTGATAGCCGCCTCATCTTCGTTCTTCTAGGCTGCTCAAGAAGCCCTGGGCATTTCATCTCACTGCCTTTCTTGATCAGACTCAATGACCTCAGAGCCAAAGTGGTGCCCAGGAGAGTCTTTGGATCTGTGGGATCATAGCCTCTCGGACAGTCATACCTCCGCGAAGCTGGATGCTGCGCAGGAGAAAATGTTGTACAGGGAGGCTCCACCATGAAACTGTCAAGCCTGCCATCCTCCAGTAGATGGTAAACCCAGCTGAGGACACGCAGCATGCTCAGATCATAGAAAGGCGACCTGTCAAGGTCAATGACTGGGCCAACTGTCCAGCCTTTCCCACTGAGGGAAGCCGCTATTTTCCCAGCTCCGCCACAAATCTCAAGAAAATGAAAACGCATGCCTAGAAGTCTTTCAACTGATCCTGCATCTGACTCCTCCAACTCCGCCGTCTCTTCAAACGCAGGGTCCAGCTTTCGTAGCAAGGCTCTGGATCTGGATAGAAGCCTCACATAGCCTCCCTTCTTTCTACCGGACCTCCAAAGGGCCCTGGCCATGGCTTCTGGAACCTCAGCTTCAACATAGGCCCCCTTTGCATCCGAAGCATCAGTTGCGTAAATAGTGGAGGAAAGCTTCGCCGCCAAATCCGTGACCATGAAAGGGATGAGAGAGGACAACAAAACCAGCTCTTGGGCTACAGCTCTGGGGAGATGAAGCAAAACAGGGGCATCTGAATCCACCGCAGCGTTCTCAACCAAACCAAAACTGTCAGCCAAAATCGACATCATGGGTCTACGGTATAGTAAAGAGTGCACCCAGCCCCCAATCAAACAAAGATGTAGCTGATCCGTCGTCCACCTCAATCTGGACAAATGCAGTGACACAAACGCCAAAGCCAAGCGCTTGTTTGCTGGAGAGGCCAAAGTGGCCAAGCCTAGACTCCTCACCCGAAGGGAGGTGTCCAGCTCTGCTCCAGTGATCTTGGCCTTCGACGCATCTGCAATGTCTTTCTCAGGGGATCCCAAAATGCCTTGCCGCTCATAAGCCGCCAAAGCGGTGGCCATCTCCGTTCCTGCAACTGTTTGCCAAGGGATGTCCTCCGCCCGAGCATCAAGCGGCGCAGGCTCAATAGAAACCGTATAGAAATCGTCAATGACAAGCCCTGAAACCAATCTATCACCCTTGAAGAACCTATCTGCGCGCAGCTCATCACTGTCTTTCAAAAGCCCAACTGATTTCAGCAAGCCCCTGTGACTGTCAACTGCAAACTCGACCCCAAGATGGTCTCCTTGGGGTATGCTGGCAAAACACCCCTGCAAAAGCGCAGGGACCTCAGCCAGCCTTCTGTTGTTGATGGTCTTGTCACTGCTACCAAAAAGGTCCCCGTGGATGATCCTGTCATAGGCCTTCCTTTTCAAATTTCTTTGGCTCCAGGCTGCAAAGGCTCTCGTCTTGGCCGAATCTGCAGCACGGATGGGAGGCCACAAAACATTCGTGGCAGCCCGCTGATGGCTGACCTTGAACTGGTGATAGAAATCCTTTCGATCCGATACATAGACCGAGAACCTCTCGTGCAGAGGCAAAATTTCCAAATCCGCAAGAAGCAGTGCAGGGGGAAGGCATTTTGAGACACCAGGAAGCCGCCCTTCAACAAAATTTCTTGCTCTGCGATCACCAATCATTCTGTCAACTTCAGCAGACTTGTGACAATTGAAAAACCTCATAGCCAAACCTGAGTCCTCAGCCTCAAGCATGCTGTCTCTAATAAAAAGCAATCCTTTTGCGTCCCAGATCTTCATAAGCTCCAAGACATCTTCGTATCTCTCCTTTGTAAGATCTGGCACGTCTTGTGAAACGCAAGAGTCAGACCACCGCAGAGATTCAGGCTCGCAAAACGCCATCCAAAGTGAGTCCCCTAGAAACTCAGTAGGGTCCCACCTCCCACTGCCGGTGATCTTCAGCCTGCCTGGCTGCAGCCTGCTGTATGGAGTAAGCTCTGGAGCTCTATCAACCTTCACGGGAACTCGAGCATAGCTTCAAAACCTCCTGCAGCACCATGGAAACCTCGCTCATATGAGGCTCCTGCGAGCCCTTCCCATGTGACAAAATCGCAAAGGTCTGACAGCTGTGCGGTCAGTGAAGTAGATCTTCGGCCACTCGACGGGACTGCAAATGTCTCATCTGAGCTACCGAAAGCCTTCATCAACCTCCTCAAGTTTTCAAGAACCCTCGCCTGAGAAGAAGAGGGATGCCTGGCCAACAAAGAGACAGGAGGGAACTGGTAGTCAGCATGCCAAAAGTTGAGAGCCATCACGGCAACATGGAATGCCTGGTCAAAGGACCTTCTCCTTCTCTCTCTGCTGCCAGCACGACTTGGAACAGTGAAAACCCCCTCTTTTGGCAGAGGAAGAGGGAAGAGAGCTTTTTCAGGTGCCATCTCGGACGACCTGGTGATGTGGAGAGTGCGCTTCAGAAACTCAGCAAAGGGAGTATGGGAAGCCAAAACCAACCGACAAAGGGACGAAGTCCATCGGGAGAATGAAAAGGTTTGCAAGAAAGTCCAAGAGGGGAGGTCATCATTACAGCCAGGGCCTGCTTGGCAAGGATGCTTTTGGGGCTCCTCGGAACAAAAGCTGGTGCTGCCTGTTGTGTCCTCCTCCTGAACCTTTTGGAGGCTACGCTTTGGACCACCTCCTGAATTATCCTTCATGCCCCCTCTGTCTGTGCCGGACTTGCTGCTTTCTTTGGACGCCTGGGGTATCGGGGTTGCTTTGGCTTGGCTGTCTCCTGACCTTCGTCCTCCTGCCTGTGTAGACCTCCTCCTGGCTTCTTTGGGAGCGCCTCTGACCTGCGGGTGTTCAACAGGTCCAGCTCCTTGACATATGCCAGGGCTGTCGCGCCCCAGTCTGCCGGGCATAGGGGGCCAAACGCCCGAAGGCGTGGATTGGTGTGCTGGGGACGATGGGAGAAGATCTGAGTGGGAGGGTCCTCCTGAAGGGACAAAATCCATGCTACCTCCCACTTGCCCCCGTCCATGGCGCTTTGTTCTATAGCGACCATTGCTAATGCCAGCATCTCCTGCGCTCCTGCCTGATCTCCTGCCAGCATCTGGTCGGCCACATGTGAAAGAAGCCACATAACCAGCCCCAAATCTCGTTGGTATCCCGTGTATCCTCCTTGCCTCTCCAGGTATTTTGTGAAGATGGCCTTCTTCTGGAACTCCTGGATCGATCCTGGAACAGGATCTGAGGGTTTGAGTCTTCGGAAAGCGTTCTGTGCTATCTTGAGGAAGAAACCCCCCTTTCGAGCTGCCAGCTCTGCTTGCAACTTCTCCCTTCTTGCAGAGCCTTTCAAAGAAATGGCAGAAGAACCTGCAGAGGTCGACCCTAGGTCTGGAAGCCCATCCTGGTTGGCTATATGGGAGACCAGGAGATTCAGTGCTTGCTGTTGCTGAAGCAGCATCTGAGACACCTGATCGGCTCCTTCTATGGGGGGCTCCTGCTCCTCTGGAAGTTCTGCTGGCTCGTCCTCTCGCATGCTCCTCAGGGCAGGCTGGCGCAGTGCTTGGGTCTGTCTGGGGGGAGGACCAACCTGAGACAAGAACTTGGCGGGACTGGCTGCTGTGTGGAGGGGCATCTGAAGATGGGCCCCAAAATCTCTCTGGTGTGGTGCTGATTGCTGAAGTGATGCCTGAGACTGCAAAGCTACTTCGAACTCCTCCTGTCTCCTCTGCATCTGTGCCAGAGATGATGATAAAGCAGGGATGGTCTCGCTCAAGGCTGCTAGTTGTTGGGACAAGGTTGCTGTGGTGACCCTCCGTGCCGTGGAGGGAGGCTTCGCCCGACCAGGCTTCGCTGGAGCCACTTTGGCTTTGGGCGGTTCTGTCTCCTCTGCAGAGTAAAAGGCTACTCTCTCCTCGTGTGCTTCCTCTAGCCAGGCCTGGACTGCTTTGAGCAAGGACTGGGAAGATGGGTAAGCCTCCATGTCTCCTTCCAAGAAAAACCGGATGCCATCTCCTTCTGTCACAGGGTCGAACATTCGCAAGGATGTGAGGACTGCTGCATCGAAGTCCACCACCAGAACCCCCATTTCCATCTCCAACTCTCTCTCCTGACCATTCTCGTCGTCCATGGCTGTCTGGACCACGAACTCGCGTGCTGGCCCAATCAGGGCGTGAGGCAAAGGAGGCTCCTGAGATTCTAAGACCTCCGTGGGGGGAGTATCCATGGGAAGTGCCAGGAGAAGTCTATTCTGGCGAGAGAGGATGGGGATGCAAAGAGCTTCGACTGCAGGAATGGTGATGCCACCCTCTGTCTCCTGTGTTGGCAGGTTGATGACATAGGGGGGCGCAGGGCCTCTGTCCAAGGTCTTCACATCTCGCAGGGTGAAGGGGGCAACCTCCACTTCGCTCATTGTTCCGCTGGTTCAGGAAAACTAACTCCAGCTGCGATGCAATACACCCTGGCCTCTGCCAGGGAGGGGAAAGCGTGAGAGACACTTTCACTGCCCTCGGTGAAGCGAGGAATGATCTTGAAATATTCAGCAGCAGTAGACACCCTGACAGGGCGAGCCAGGCCCGGTGCCTTGAGGATGACGTAGACCGTTGGCCGGTTTGCCAACTTTGGCGTTGGCCTGGGTTTGTTGATGATGCCCTCAAGTGTGGCCTTAGCCCAATGTCCCGCCTCCCACGCCCTCTGAACCCGACTCGACCTTTCCTCCGCCGAAGCCCCGATAGAAACACAAAGCTGATGGCAAGCAGGAGGAGCAGAGGTGATAAGCTGAGCCACGTCGTCGTGGCTGGACTGAGAGACCCTGAGATGGGAAACCAGCGGAAGAAGAAGAAAGTAGTGACCCTTCCAAATCCAAGTCCACGGAAGGGAGTGAAATGCCAGAGGGAACAGGTGCAGATTGGGCAGCAGCCTCGTATCCGCTGATGGCAGCCTCAAGGGTACTGGCAATGGCCCTGAGGGAAGATACGGCAGTCCTAATCGCTGAGATTAGTATGCCGGTGGCGTTCATGCAAGTAGGCAAGTAGCCTGTTGGGTGGACCGGGCTGAGTGGAGGCAGGTGTGGTGGAAAGCTGGCAAGGCAAGGTGGGGAACAGCACCAGAAGGTAGAACCCAGAAGCCAAGACCAGAAGAATTCCAGAGCACAAGCCAGCCACGAAGATAGCAACCAAGTAAGGGATGGATGAGCCGCAGTGGGCAGGACAGACAAGTCCAAACCAGGAGTTAGAGCTCCCCACAGCCAGCACCCGAACAAGGTCCCCCACCCAAGCAGGCCAGGACATGAAGCTTGAGCGGGATGACACAAACATCGTTGTTAAACATTCAATATATATATATATTTGTATAATATATTATTAAATTATGTGTTGGAATCCACCGGCCTGCGTGTCTTGTGGATCTTGCTTGTTCGTAGTTGTACTGTCTGTTTTGTCTTTGTCTTGTCTAGACTTCCCCCTTGGTGCGGATTTTTCCCTCGTATAACTTGAACCCACCCCCCTCCCCCCCACCTAGCTCTTCTTCGTTTCGTCTTGATCTTTCCTTACGTTGTGGTGGGCTCAACTCTGCCCACGCCTCGCTTAACACCGGCTTGGTTTTGCACATCTTGCTGTCATTTCAATGCTTGTTCCCGTTTTTTGTTGTGTTTGCCATCGGTTTGCTCCGTCGCTTCTTATATCCAATACTTGATCCACTGGCTTTTGTGCCGAACACCTTTTACGCGCATAACCTTTCGAAATATTGCCTTTTCCAAAGCGTCTTCATTTAATATGGCCTTTTCCAAAACCCTGGTTTACACACATGCTTTGGTTTAAACTTAAACCGTGGTTTGAACAAAACCAATGTTTTTGCGTCCAAACCATCTTTTACACAAAGAGCTATTTTACATAAAAACTGTGTTATCCACAAACACCATGTTTTAGACAAAAACCATGTTCTTGCTGGGCCTGTGCAAGGGCTGTTTGCAGCCTGCACGATAGCTCTTCCATGGTGGCCAGCGGAACACGCCGAAGGCGGTTAAATTATTGATTGTTCTTATGTTTTATCATGTCTGTTTTAATTATGCTTTATTATGTTTGATATTCTTGAGAGCTCTCTGTGTGGACTGTGCTATCCAAGTCGCACGGCCAGCCAAACAGACATTAGCCTTAGGCCAGACTAGTATGACGGAACAAATTCGAGCGGTTTGCCCAATGATTTAGCCATTAGAGCTGGCTGTTCAGCAAAACAGCAGTGAAACAAAGCAATGCAAGTGAAGTACACAAAAAAAGTCAGAGGTAGAGCCAGCAGAATCATTCATGTTTCATTTGATTTTCAGAAAACACTTTTTGCATTCAAGCCAAGATGCAAGTACAGAAAGGCTGCAGACAAAGTCAGCATGTAGTAGTGTATCAGGAACGTTGGCGTCCCAGGTTGCAAGCGACCTTCTGTGTAAAGGCCTTCCACGGACAAGGTCGCAACGCTTTCAAGTTGGTTAAGAGGTGTTGAGATTGAATGATATTGATTCATGTATCTGCAAAGTATTTTGAAAAAAATCTTGTGGTGCCTAAACACATTCCAAGAAGAAGTGTGGACACAATCAAATAGCTGTCCTTGGCTCCAGTGACTCGGCTCAACTGTTCTGTTGGAGAATCTTGATTTTCTTCTGAAGTAGAGAAAAATTGTTCTTTTGATCTGCTAAGATCTCCACCATTTTTCTTTGAGTCAACCCAATGATGTCTCTGACATCGTCTCTCCATAATTCTGCCTGCTCTGCTCGCCTTGGTTGTAATGTCTGGAGATTAGAGAGTCATCGTCTTGACATTGCTTGAATAGCAGTGAATTGCTTGAAAGAAAAATACATGATAGCTCTTCTTGGCACTGGGATTGCCAGCGCGTGTGCCTCAAAAGCTAAAGTAAACAGTGTAGAGTCAGTGTAGACCATTGAACAGTGTGCAGCAAACTGCGGGTGGAGCACCATTCGAGTATCTTGAGTTCCGTCTCTTGCCGCATCTTGCGATCGTACAGGAAATTGTCCCGATTGTACTCCCATAATGCATGAGCTCCTGGTAGTGGAAGATAACACCACAAAGAATGATAAAATACAGTGCAGTATACATCAATACATATATATATATATATACATATATATATATATACATATATATATACATATATATATATATACATATATATATACATATATATATAGACATACTGCTTATATATATATAAATATATATATATATACGTATATGTATGTATATATATATATATATCATTATGCAATAAGAATCATTATATACGCCCTGTTATCCCTGTTGAAACACCATGAAAACACCGTGAAGACATCCTGAAAAGGTAGTGAAAACGCCGTGAAACGCCAGACCGACCAAACCCAAACCTGTCTGTGCAAAACATGCACCTGCTGCAGCTCCAGCAACAGCTTCGGCAAGCACCATGGCTCTCAAAGGGCCAAAAGCAAAGCAAAGAATGCGTTTGAAATGCGAGGATCATTGAGGATCATGCTGCATCAAATCTGGGATCCTACATCAAATCTAGATGTTGTTTGCATCACGAAGGAAATGCATACGCTTCAAGCTAGATAGGCGCCCATGATCGTGTTTTTGAAAAGCATGAAGGATACCTGAGCCGTCGTCAACCTGCAATGCAAAGCTGCACAGCCAAGTTGGGTCTCGCAATCAAGACGACGGTTGTAAATGTATTTGACACATGCACTTTCTTGTTGCTCATTCGGCCGTCTTCAGGTGTCAGGATGCCGCACGTTTGCTCCTGGGTCTTTTTTGAAGTAGTGAAAATACCTCCAGGGATGCAGACGAAGGTATGCCAAAGGTGTGCAGAAAGGATGCTGAAAGTATGCCAGGATAATGCATCGTTGTGAGTCACATGTTTCTTCCAGCATGCGTTCGTTCTCAGCCCCGCTAACCTGTTGGGACGCGTCATCGCGTCTTGCCCAAGTCCTCAGCTCAAACATTTGCGTATCTCGCCATGCGACAAAATGATATGCTCTTGGCTCCAGTGAACCACAAGCTGCACAAGCTTCAAGCTTTCTGTCATGGCAGCACTCTCAATCTTCGCAACTTTCCGCTCCTGTACGAGGTGACACAGGAAAATACGCAACGAACCACCAAACATCTTCCACAAAGCGGGCCTTGGCAATGTTCTGGCTGAAACCCAGGCATTCTATATGGGTCACCTCGGTTAAGGACATGCCAGATGGCAGTTGCCTTTCACTGGAGACAAACCGGGTAGCAAGCCAAAGGAGGTTCGACAAATCGCCGTGGTCGTTGCTTCCATGTCCTGAAAAAAACACCAATATATGGCCTATGCAGAAACGATTCAGCAATCACAGCACATTTCATGGGAAAGACTGATAAGACTGATTTTTCTGATTGCCAGTCCCCATGTTGGAGCCACAGTGAAGTCTCCCACGCTACTTTGAGATAAATGCTGCAGCACATCTGACCAAAATATACAAAGGCGAGCTTGGGACTACTGACTACTTCGATTTAACACTGCAGTAGGTAGGATCTGCTGAATACATTCCTGGATGTCGTGATGCCCACAAATTGGGATAAAGCGGGCCAATTCAGCTTGACACCGACTGATCAGTGCTTCAATGTTTTGCAAAAACAAAAAACAAAGTCATGCCATTGACCAGCATCCTACAGCCAATCCAGCAGCATCCCACGTTGATTTTACATCTGAGACATGTTCTACAGGTGCGAAGCGCAGCTTCCCTTGCGCCAAGCTCTTGATGACTCAACCTACACTCTAAGAATTGGTCTCAAGCATGACAACTGCCGTCCAAAACAATGCTATGGAAATGGCAACTCTGGCGAAAATGATATTGTCTTCCACTTCCTGAGTACTTGCCCAACGAGTATATAGATCATACCAATATTGTGCATGTTTGAAACTCATTGGCGTTTGAAAACCAGAACCAAGCAACCAAAGCAGGCAAATCAAGGTATGATGGTGCGGCTTCTGTTGGAACAAGACTGCCTCCCTGCCATTCATGGAGAGTTTGGGTTTGTTTACTTGAAGCTAGTGCCTTCACTTGGCAAACCCCTTGAAATCATCTCAAATTGGCTTCACATCAGGATAGTTTAAGTTTAAGAGTGACCCCACCAGTTAAAACGCTGCATTATTGGACCAAAATGAACATGGAAAAGGTATGAATGAAGGTTCTATTTTCAAATCTTCTGGCCTGTGCAGTGTGGCGACGGTGCACTGTGAAGATCGTAGCCCTGGTCAAAGCATGAGGTCTTTGCGTTGTTTTTGCCAATCTATCTTTCGAGTGCAAAAACAATTCTGGATTCGAACATATATATATATATATAAACTATAAACAGTCCCCGCATATTCGTAGGTGTGTCCTGTATTAATTGTTTCCAGTGATGTGGCAACATTCGCACTGGCCTCCTCAGTCAAGACTGTGCCATCCGACATTTTTTTGTGATGAGTGAAAGAACACTTTGCGCCTGAGACACAGCGTTTGATTCCTACCTGCGTAGACAGTTTGTTTGGCCGTTTTGCCTTTCATCATGCAAGTAAGCAAGTTCAGGAGCCCGGTGTTCAAAAACTTATTTGGATAATGATATTGCAATCAAAACTGTGTTGGGAGAAGGCAAACTAGAACATACAATAAACTCATAGCCATACCACAATAAAATGAAATGTTTTACTGCACTGCAGTGTGTTCGCTAAGGTGAGATCCATCATCGCAGCAATTCACTTCACACGCGTGGAGATAGCCTCCAGGGAAGACAATGGTGTTTTGCCAACTGGAGCAGTCCAATACAATAAAAGCACCACATGCGTTCTCCCCTGCCTTCGCATGCAGATGCCTTGGCGAATTAAGCAGTCCATGCTGGTGTCACCAAAAGCATCATGCCACGTAAGAGCACATGCAAATGTGTTCACCTTCTAAACAGTGCAGAATGCGTACGAAATGTGCAAAGCAATGCAAAGCATGTGTTCGGGGGTTCCAAGTTCAAAGGGCCCAGGAGCACAACACCCCAGGAGTTTGATATTGCTATCCTTGTTTTTTACTTTTGAAGAACCATCCGAATAAGGGGACAGACCACCCCCAGCTGGTGGCCACACATGCATTTTAATCCTAGTATATCAACAACTAAGAAGCACCAGAAAGGAACCATATTGGTGTGACTACCGAAAAATTTTTGTTCATCAATTTTCTTTCAAATTGTTGCTACTCATGTCTGTTCTGGCCTCGCATAGTTCCTTGTGTTTTTGCAATCAATGAGCTCCCAACGCAGGGACGAAGATAGGAGGCCTGACAAATATATGTGCCATTGTCAAAACATGGTGGCCATCCATCCCCCATAGTGAGAATACTTGCAATGGGTATACAAAACCCTGTAATGGCCTTACCATCCTGCAGTATTCACATCATTTCATATCCTACCAGTAATAGCGCACGCGTCGCGGAAATTTCAAAGATAGGACGCTATAGGAGAGGTTGGTTGCTGTGAATCACGGATGGCAGAGCGAATCCACTGATGGACCGAAAAGGTGGTTGGAGCTGTGCTTCTTGGAGTGGTTGCAATGGTTGCAGCGGTCACCTGGTCGGTCACCTCACCCACAACTGCTGGATGTAGTGTGGCGTAGCGCAGCTGCAGTTGTAGCTGTAGTGTAGTGGAGTTGTAGCTGTGGTGCAATGTAATTACTGTCGTGTGGTTGCAGTTGCATTTGTGGTGGTGTAATGAGTGTAATGAGTGCAATGTAATGTAATTTAGGTAGATTCTAGAAGGCTGTGGGCAGAGGTTTTTAGTATGTACCAGGGGGTCTGTGGCAAGCTTAGTTGGTGCAAATGGCGACGGCATGACGACACATGACGACGACATGCCCATGGCATGGTGACAGCATCGCGACGGCATTGCGACGACATGGCGACGACACGGCGACCATATGGCGACGGCATGGCGACGGCATTGCGACGACATGGGGACGACATGGCGACGATGACATGGCGACGACATGGCGATGACGCGATGACGACACGGCAAGGACGACAACGACGACGGTGACAACGACGACAACGGCGATGACGAGGACGACGGCGACGATCACGAGACAGGGTTTTAGGGTATGGTGTAGACATAGCTATACATATGGCTATGGTTTGATGATGCCGAAGCGTGTTTGTCACAACCAAATCATTTTTTTCGTATGTTCTTTCCCAGATGGGCGCCCTTCTTTCTGAAGCGGGCAAGGTTAAATGGGTGTGTTTCGTGTGCTGGCAGCATTCAACTTGAATTGTGTTCGCTCAATGGGTTTGAGACAACCGCAGAAATTAGTAGTAATTAAGTTTGAACAACCCCTGAACTGTCATGTTGCTATAGTTATAAGTGGGACAAAAATGTGGTGAATCTCAATTCGGGGTCTTTGATGTTTCTGTGCATCAGTATATATTCCCAGGCAGGAAGGATGAATTCGCCGGACAATGCAGGGAACAAATGGTTTATTCCCGAATGCGTAGCAAGGGTTCCGGTTTCACTCTGGGGGTCTGGGGGTTGAGGGTGTGTTCGCTCGACGTTGCGTTTGCGGCCGCAACCGTCCGCAACCGTCCGCAACCGTCCGCAACCGTCCGCGCGATTGCTATATGGTCGTGCCTATGGTAAGTTCTGCAGAGGTGGTCATTTTTGGAGGTTTCAAACTTCTCGTTGCTTCGTTTCGCGTGGCAGGCGTGGCACTTCGTGACATTCAGACGTGTTTTGTAACGTGTCGAAGGTCGTTTTGTGTGGCAGGCGCAATACTTTTGCGACGTTTTCAGAAGATGCGTTGCAGTTTTCGTGGCAGGCGCAGCACTTTGGACGTGTCCAGCGTCATTTTACGTGGCAGGCGCAGCACTTTAGACGTGTGGTGTTGCGTGTTTTTTGCGAATCGCATTGGCAGGGCTGCGTCAAGTGGCGACAAGGTGCAAATTCCGTGGCAGGCGTGGCAGTTTGTGAGATGTGCTGAAAATTGACGGAAGCCTCGCACGAAACATCGATTTTGAGGTAGCAAATTTACAGGTTCCTAAGAAACTCGTAGGAAAACGTCGATTCTGAGGCTGCAAAGTGTCAAAGTTGGAGGAAGTCTCGCACGAAATGCTCGTTTTGGACCTCCCACGCGTCTCATCTCGAGTCTCTGGTTTTCCTGCGGCTTCGCCGTGTCTATGGGGGAAGCTGCAAAACATCTCTTTTTCGAAGGTTTCCAAGCAGGTTGTTTGTACATTCCAACCTGTTTGATAACGTGTCGAAAGTGTCAAAATTGGAGGAAGTCTCGCACGAAATGCTGGTTTTGGTCCTCCCACGCGTCTCGTCTCGAGTCTCTGGTTTTCCTGTGGCTTCGCCGTGTCTATGGGGGAAGCTGCAAAACCTCTCTTTTTCGAAGGTTTCCAAGCAGGTTGTCATGTCGTTTTGCGTGGCAGGCGTGGCACTTTGTGACATTCCAACTTGTTTGATAGCGTGTCGAAAATGCCAAAATTGGAAGAAGTCTCGTACGAAATGCTGGTTTTTCTGCATCCACGTGTCTCGTCTCGAGTCGCTGTTTTCCTGTGGCGTCGCCGTGTCTATGGGGGAAGCTGCAAAACCTCTCTTTTTCGAAGGTTTCCAAGCAGGTTGTCATGTCGTTTTGCGTGGCAGGCGTGGCACTTTGTGACATTCCAACCTGTTTGATAACGTGTCGAAAATGGCAAAATTGGAGGAAGTCTCGCACGAAATGCTTGTTTTGGTCCTCCCACATCTCTCGTCTCGAGTCTCTGGTTTTCCTGTGGCGTCGCCGTGTCTATGGGGGAAGCTCCGCACTCCACACTCTACACTTTACACTCCACACTCCACAATTTACACTTTAGACTCCACACTCTACACCTCCACACTCCACACTTTACACTCCACACTCCTCACTCTACACTTTACACTCTACACTTTACACTCTACACTCCACACTTGACATTTTACACTCCACACTTTGCACTTTACACTCCTCACTCCACACTTTACACTCCATACTCCTCACTTTACACTCCACACTCCTCACTTTACACTCCACACTCCACGCTTCTCACTTTACACTCCGCACTCCACACTCTACACTTTCCACTCCACACTCCACACTCCACACTTTACACTCCACATTCCACACTCCACAATTTACACTTTAGACTCCTGACTCCACACTTCACACTCTACACTTTACACTCTACACTCCACACTCTACACTTTACACTCTACACTTTACACTCTACACTCCACACTCCACAATCTACACTTTACACACTCCACACTCCTTACTCCACACTTTACACTCCACACTCCACACTCTACACTCCACACTCCACACTCTACACTTTCCACTCCACACTCCACACTTTACACTCCACACTCCACACTCTACACTTTACACTCTACCCTTTACACTCTACACTGCGCCCCTTTACATTTTACACTCCACACTTTG